ACCACATGGAGACTTATTATTTATGAAAACTTGGCCCAAAGCTTAGGCTTGTTTATAACTAGCTCTTATAATTTAATTAACCCATTTCTACTAATTTACATGCTGCCATGTGGCTCATGCCTTGTTACCTCATAACCTACGTGTCATGCTTCCTTTGCATCTCCTTGAGACATCGCCTTCCTTCTTCCCAACATCCTCCGTGCCTGGAAATCTTGCCTAGCTATTGACCATTAAGCTCTTTATTAAACCAACCAGAGTGACACATCTTCACAGTGTACAAAAAGGATTATTCCACAACAGAGTAGAGATGTTTTATGATGACATGATCTTGTCTGTAAGAAGAGCTGAATGACTCCTGTAAATTTGGAACTTTGTCATATTTAGGACATTTTTCCAGGGTTAGGAGGAAATGGCAGTGTACATCTATGGTTTCTGCTTTTGAGGAATTTATTTAAATACTGCAGAAGATCCCAATAGCCTTCCATGACAGTTAGGAGCTATATGCTTAGAATTGCCAAAAGAATTATGTAGATGTTTCTTGGTTTTCTGTAGTCAGTATTCAAGCAGAGATAGATATTTATGTTACCTCTGTAATTTTTACTTATTTATTTTTATTTTTGAGATGATTGTATAATTACAGTATTTTACCTTTCTATTTGCTTCTTCTAAACCCTTCCATATATCCCTCCCCACTCTCTCCTTCAAATTAATTGCCTCTTTTTTTTCACTAATTGCTGTTACATGCATATATGTGTATGTTTATACATATATATTCCTAAATAAAACCTGTTTGGCCCATGTAATGTTTCTCGTGTGTATGTTTTCAGGGCTAATCATTTGTCACTGAACAACCAATAGGTATGCTCTTCCTTGGGGAAGTCCACCTTTCCTGCTGCCAGCTTTCTTCAGTTGCCCAGAGTTCTTTGTGCAGAGTTGAGGCCTCTCAGGGGGCTTTTCTCCACCCACGCCTGCATGTCCATTGGGGTCACCCTCATTCAGCTCAGATTTGGGCAGTCTTTCATCCTTTCTTACTTGCCGTTCCTTTTTACCTTTTTATGTTTTGCATTACTTTCCTTTAAAAAACATTTTAAAATAGTGAAGCTTTTGATATTATTAGATTCATGTTACTTTTATTTATACAGTGGTCCTCAACCTTCCTACTGCTGTGACCCTTTAATACAGTTTTTCATGTGTTACAGTCTGGGGAAGGCCAGCTCTTCAAAACTGCTCCAGGGTTGTGAATAGAAGACCTCAGAGCAGTGAGGGCTTAGGAAAAATTCTTATCTATCTGAGGGTTAGATTTTTTTTCTATCTATGGGGAAAAAAAGAAAACACACATGCTTTCTGAAGGTAACTTTCTCTTTTACTTCATCTTAAAAAATGTCTTTCTCTGAAAATCTGTCTCCACACTGCTACATCTCTTTACATACAGCTATATATTTCTCTACTCTGTTATATTCCTTCATATACTACTGCATCATTCATTCACTCTTTCCTCATTCTGTTTCTCACCTTGCTCTCTCATTCTTCTTCTCTGACCAACTTTGGACAATTATATGTTACATTTTCTTTCTGCCCATTGGGCTACATCCCTCACTCAGCACTTACACCTACACATACTCACACACTCACTACTTATTCACATCCAAATTCTGGACAATTTGGACAATTATATGTTACATTCTCAGGGCCTGGCCCATTCTCATAACACATGATAAGTCACATAGTTTCTCTCAGGCTAGGAAGGTCACGCTGACTTGGCCATGCACATAGCTCTAAGTTGGTGAGGGTTCCAGACAGAAAGTAAACAGTTGGCTGAACCTTGAGCCTAGGAATATGTATAGTCAATTACTGTAGGGGGTCATGTCTCAATGTAAACAGCCTGACCTTGATTTAGTAATAAACACCTGGGAACTAGTCCTTGTGTATTTCTGAAGGGACAGCTTAGTCTAGTTTTAGTTTGTTCTGAAGTCTAAAATTAACTGACTTTGAGACTGAAATACTGTTACTTTCCTGTGTCGATTAAGAAAAATATTCTGGTATTATTTCTATTCATCAGAATTATACAGCTTAAATAGAAATTATCTCCTGATCATTTACAAGTATATGTGTGCCCAAAGATGTAAAACACACTACCAGTGGGCTGTGGAAAGAACCCCACAGTTGTTCTTTTTAGGGAGGTTAAGTGGTTGCACAAGAGAAAGTTACAGACAGAAAACAAGCAGTTTCCACAGCCAGTGACCCCACAGTCTTTGCCTAGTGGGGCTTCTCAAGAGAGAGTTATTTGTCTGGTGGGTCAACCTGTTAAATACTAGTTGTCACCTGCTGTTTACTCCCATGACCTCTGGTAAAGCCATTGCTACCAGCAGCTCTCACCACTCATGTGGTGGTGACCCCCAACCTTTAAATTATTTCATCACTACTGCATAACTGTAATTTTGCTACAGTTATGAATAATAATGTAAATATCTGATATGCAGGATATCTGATATGTGACCCCTGTGAATGGGTCATTTGACCCTCCAAAGGAGTCATGACCAACTAGGGCAGTTGAGAACCACTGCCCTAGTAGTTTGAAGTAGATGATAGCATAAGTTGTTTGATAGAAACGTGGGTGCTGGTTTAGAAATGAGTACTGTTATTGGTCCAGTTTTACAAAAGGGAGAAACTCAGGCACTCACAGGTTAAGTGGCTTACCAGAAGCCACAGTTAGCAAGTGATAAAGTTTGTATTCAGACCTTCTCAGTGCTGAAAACAAAGCCCCTGCCCCATTTTTTTTTTAAAAAAATATATCTTTTAATTTAAAAATTAGTTTTGTTATTGGGGGAGTATGATGTGTGGGAGATGGGCCATGGAGCATTTGTGTGTCAGAGGACTACTTCGTGGGGCAGTTCTCTCCTTCCACCTTTATAACATGGGTTCTAAGATCCAATTCATGTTGTCAGGCTTGTGTGGCACGGGCCTTTACCAATGAGCTATAGGCCCTCTCCCTCTTCATTTGTATCCTATTATTCTCACTGAATTTGCTACTTGAAAAGTGTTTTTCTGATGGCTGCCTAACTTCTTTAAGCATCCTCTTAATTCTTGACATATGTGTTGTTTTTGATAATAAATTTCAAAAATTTTAGTTTTAATCCAGAATCTTAAGATTCTAGAAATTCTTACAAGAAAGTTTCCTATATTAAGGAATAACAATGTTTTAAGATCATTAAACCACATGAAATTCTTTTCCAAAAATGTTAAAAAATGTATAGGCTGGGTATATTTAGGAATTCTTTACAAAAGTATTTTGCAATCTTGTACGATGGTCTCAACCAGACAGACAGGTGGAATCAACAGCCCTGGTGGGAGTTAGGTTGCTAAATGAGAACTTATCAAAGCAAGAATGTCGTGTATCATTAAGGTCTACCCATTCTTAGTAATAAACAACTACAGTTCAGATGTTCCAAACATAAGTAAAGTATATGTTCTTAAGTATAGCATAGAATGAAGGTTAGGACCAGAACCTCTGCTTGGAGATATGTGATGTAGCCTGATTCTTGGAAGGTTTGGATGACTCAAGAGTGCATGAAATGAGCTTCTAGGGTCTTGATTGGAGATACAGGATGCAATATTTGGGTCAGCTTCACAGTTTCTTTTAGGACATTGCTTTAAGTCAGAGGGGAGTAACCCAAAGTAAGAGGCCCAGTACTCACTAAAAGAAATAGTGATTCGCGTTTCCTAGACTAGGAACATTGTGACATCCTCTTTTGTGAGTTTTCTTGAATCTGACCTACTATTAGATTTTTAGGATAATTGTGGACTCTACTTTCACTATTGATAGTACAATAAATACGTTTAAAAGAAAGACTTCAGAAATAATTAAAAACTCACATTATTCAAGACTGATTTATACCCTTGACTGAAACCAGAGGGTAGTTCTGTTTATTAGTTAGAGTATGGCAAGGATGTGAGCCAAATTTGTAATGTGGTTTGGGTTGGTGTCAACAGGCTATGTTGTTGTAAAATTAAACCTCAAACTTTCAGTGATCTACATCAATAAGGGGTTTTACACACTACACACACACACACACACACACACACACACACACACACACACAGAATCTCAATCAGGCTGGCTGCCCATATTTGTGCAGTGGAGGTGTTATGCCAAAGTAGCTGAGGCAAGAAGAGAGCTAAGGTAAGCAGACTTGAGTGACTCAGCTTGAAAGTGACACGTACCAACTCCTTGCTCAGTCAACTAGTCAGAATTAGAAACATGGTTCAAATCCAGCTGGATAAGAAGCCTAGAAAATATGTAGAAGAACACACAAATATTTCATGAATCCTACTGGTCTTTAATAATACATTCTTGATCCTTGACCCTTTAAAACTATCTACTCAAAATCTATAGGTAGTATCACATCTTTTTTTTTTTTTGGTTTTTTGAGACCGGATTTGTCTGTGCAGTTTTGGTGCCTGTCCTGGATCTCCTCTGTAGACCAGGCTTGCCTCGAACTCACAGAGATCCGCCTGGCTCTGCCTCCTGAGTGCTGGGATTAAAGGCGTGCACCACCGCCACCCGGCTCACATCTTTTTAAATTAAACCAACTGTCCCAAACCTTCATGTTGTTTCCCTTTATGATTAAAGGGCACTTGTATGATCTAGTACATACTGTGTTTTGAAGAAATCAAAACTTTTTGCTTATCAATTCTAAGATCTCTGTAAACCATTTAACTTCTCCAAACACACTTCTCAACTGAAAAAATGAATAGTGATTTCTCATCTGTGGATCTATTTCAAAATTTAGGTTAAGGATAGCATGTAAAACACTTGGCGTGGGGCCTAATGCATGATAGATATTAAACAAATGCAAGTTTTCATTTTATTTTTATTTGAATGGTCAGTCTTATAGTAGGATCTATAGTATACTCATAATCCTCAGACAGCAATGTGCTCAGTGTGGACAAGAGGTATTCTTGCTGAGTTAAAGTGAAATGTCTATTTCTTATTGTTGTAGGTCATGGGGAGTTTTAAAGGTCATGCCCTCCCTGGAACCTTCTTCATTATCATGGGCTTTTGGTGGGGTACAAAGAGTATTCTGAAATATGTCTACAAAAAGCAAACTCGGACCTGCTACCTTAGTTCCAAAACATTATTACGTCGAGCAGAGATTTGGGAAGGAGCTGTTATAATCTTCATGGCTCTTACTGGTAAGTGGATTGTGGCCATGTTCTGTTTTCTCCTTTTGAGTATTTCATGAGTGGGGAAAAAAATGTCAATATGAAATTGAGATATACTAAATAAATTTCATATAAATATGTCTCTTAGTATTTATCCCAATTACAGTTTATAACTGATGTAATCTTAGGAAAATGATATTTCATAATTATATAAAAGCCTAATCCTTAATGAATCTTAATATTTAATTTGCCTATCCAACCAAGTGAATTTCCTTTGTATCATAAGTTGGAGCCTATGAAATAGTTTGATACAAGTTCTTCTGATCCTTCAAAGAGTAAACTCTGTAAGAAATCATTTTGTAAATTACACTAAAGTAATCAAGTGATTATGGGAAATCTTCAATAACAAATCATTTCTGAGAGATGATAAAGGGAATTGGGGCTGAAGGAGATCTTGCTTCATGTACATCCACCTTGTGTCCTGAGTTGGACAGAGTCCAGGTAACTTAATTTCAATAACTTTCCATTGTTACTGAACATTCTAAAAAAGGTTCTGCATTTTACAGTAATGCTGTAGTTGCTGCTTTGTAAATGGTAACACTTCTAATTTTTCCACGGATTCTTTTCATTCATGACAATAGGATTTTGTTATTAACATTAAATTACAAAGTAACCATTTCCGAAAAGAGAACTTTCCCTGCCCATTCTAGAGGCTAACCAGGCAGCTTCTAGAAAACAACAACAAACCTGTCTATATCAATAATTAACCACATGTAGAGTCTGTATGAACCATCTCTACTATTCTTATTCTTGGGGAAAAGGCTAAATTCTTCATCAATTTTGTCAGAAATCAAGGAAAACACTCTACTTTGTAACAGCTAAGAGTGCAATATCTAGAAAGAAAGTAATCATCCTTTAAATGACATACATCATAAATCCAAACCTCCAAGCCATCCAGGATTTTAGTCATTAAATTACAACCAGTTGTTGAACTAAAATTACCATTGTTAAGGATATGAAACAGTTGCTTGCATCATTTGTCTATATATAGATAAAACTTGTTACCCAAACCTGCAGCTAAACTTTGGAATCAAGTCTAAATCAGTATTGCTAGGTTTTCAGTGGAAAGCTCAGAGGGAAGAATCGACATCATAAAGTTAGAATAAGCGATGAACATGTGCCCCTGTGTCTTCACACTTACTATGTAGACTCAGGAAAAGGATTGCTAAAACTGTGGTATGTTCCTCTGCAGGTATGGTCGGGGAACAGTTTATCTCAGGCGGACCCTCCCTGACCCTGTATAAAGACGGCCAGTGGAACCAGCTTCTTGGCTGGCATCATACAACCATGTACTTCTTCTTTGGGCTACAGGGTGTAATCCATATCTTATGTTTCACTACCAATTTCCTTCCGCTTTCCTTAAGCAAGTTAATGTTATCAAATGCCATCTTTGTGGAGTGTAAGTATGAGGGAAATATGTTTTCTGTTCTCTTTCTATCAGTGGGCATTGATGTTGTGCTTTATAATAACATATCTTTTGTTTCTCTGTATCACCTTGATTGGCAGGACTAGCTGTTTGGGCCGTAGTTGGATATATGGTTGTCCTAGAGAAAATACCTATAGTCTTCCTTTCTTACAACTTTACAGACTAACTTAATAGATCTGGGCAGACACAGCCACTCAAAAAGTTTTTTCAAATTTCATATCTGTCTTTAGAAATCATCTACAGTGGGCACTTACCTCTTGGTCATTGTGGAGCTTATCATTCTTTTTATTTCTAACAATGGAAACTGAACTCAGAATAATAGTGCATGGATTACTTGAAATGGGGCAGCCACTCACAATAGAAAATGTCTACCAATCTCTAATAAGCTTTTCATATATCAGAAACAGAAACTCTGCCAAAATGTGGTATGTAGGTCTAAAAAATGACTTCCTAATCTTAAGAGGTTAGTGAAAATAACAGGATGTTTCTTTCAGTTGATTTCTCAGATTATCATAAGGAGGGCAAGATAAAACAAGTGTTTAATAATTTGTTATAATTTATGTACTCATTTGCTGAATTCCCTAAATTGAGACTTTGACTTCAGCTAATTTATCTGTACATTCACATTCATTAGAGCTCCCTACCCTAGTCATGTTTATTGTACATTTTCCTACATAGATAATGCTTTAAACAACAGCTGAAAATTCTATGGTATGTTAGAAGAGAGAAAAAACGGTTAGAAGAAAAAGAAAGTAGGGTTAGACTTCAAAGATTCTCTTCCTAAATAAGAGGCAATGTTTACTCTCCCCAAAGTAAAAATACATTGCTGAGAGTCAGTGGGGATTTGCTCTTTGGGGCAGTTTTATGTTCATATAAAATTCTGTGGCAAGAGGGTGGTACAGTGGGAAGCCTTTGGTTTTATCAGAAAATATGTTTTGCCCCCTCTGTTAGCATTTATCTTCTACAACCACACTCATGGTCGGGAAATGTTGGATGTTTTTGTGCACCAGCTTCTGGTCTTTGCCACCATTTTGACGGGTCTGGTTACCTTCATGGAATTCCTCACAAAGAACAATGTACTTCTGGAGCTCCTTCGGTCAAGTTTCATCATCCTACAAGGGACCTGGTTCTGGCAGGTGAGTTGGGACTTGTAGCTAACACATGTGGTGTCACTTATCTGCAGTTTCTCTTATTAACTGATGAGGCATTTGCTTTTAATTCTTCCCTTCTATGAGCATCACAGAAGTGATGTTCTTGGAGTGGCCTGGTGGGTCTGGTGAGACTACTGTTAGAGTAGCTGTGGAGGAAGCAGACAGTTTATTCCTTCATTATGGATCCACTTATCCTTTATGCAGGAATTTTGAGCTGATGATTATGGTTGTAAGTGATTTTTAGTGCTAGAACAGCTTATAGCCTAATGCGCCATAAGCTCAAGAGCTGTATGAAAGACCCAAGAGAGAGAAAACACTTGCTGAGAGACAACCATATGGTGGCCACCATGTGGATTTTATGTACATCTTATTTTATCTATTTTTTTTCCAGAAAACAATTATCTCATATTTTATCATGTTTATAAAATCTAGTTATGAAAAGAAAACCATGAAAATCCAGCGAGGGAGGGGACCAGAAGGGGACCCAGTGGCGGGAAGAGCAGGACAAGAGAACAAGTTACATGGTGTGTGTGATGCAAAGGCGCCATGAAGCTCAGGATTTTGTGAACAGTGTGGGGCCAACAAGATGGCTCAGTGGTGAACACTGCTTGTCACTTTTGGAGAGGACAGAGCTTTTGTTCTTAGCACTCATGGCTCACAAACTCCTGTATCTCCAATTCCAGGGGTCCAGCATCTCTGGCCACAGATGGTACTTGGTCAGGGCTAGAGCCCCTGCTTAGAATTCCCCAGTGAGGGCTTGGGGTCATGGCTCAGAGGTAGAGCCCATCTTGTTTTATTATATTCCCATACCTTCACATTGATCCAGAAGTTAGGTATTACCACCTCTAATTTGCCTATAGGTATCTTCAGCAAGACCAAGATTTTTCTCATGCTCAAACAGTAATATAGCTAGGATCTAAATCTAGACTTCTCTAATCCCAAATCCCAGACACTTCCCATTTTCTAGCATCATCAACTCTCTAAATTTGCCATGCTGTTGAAAGCATGAATTCAAACGGTGGACTTATAGTTTTGAGAGACTATCAAGTCACAATCATGTTCATGTATAGGTGTAAACAAAGTCCAGAATGAGATGAGAGTGTGGCTTGATTAGGCCAGACTTTGAGGAGGAGAATTTTAGTCACCACAGAGCTGGGATTTGGGATGACGTGGCTGTTTCAGGGACTTGAATTTCCTTCCCATCAGAACTGATAACAAATTGCCAGGTGATGATAAAAGAAGAGCTGTGGTTTAAACGGGATATGATGATTTAATATCCACACACATGGGGGAGATAGAAGAACTTGTGGTGCAGAGACCCGTAAGGTGGGACTCGGTTCATGCATTGGTTCGAAGTGTGCTTCATAGAAAAATATTATAAATACCCTATAAGGCGATCAATCTATTGCCAGCTTAGGTAGAGTATTAGCCCTCCACAGGGAACCTAAATGGAGTAAAGAGGATGGGACATAAAGAACTAGTGTGCACTGAATTGCAGTGCTTTCCTGTGTGCACATGTTTGGTAGTCAAAAGATGTAGTCAGAAGTTGTCCTGTGTCCCGCCCGGTCCCGCAGCTGCTCTGACCCAAATAAACACAAATTAATTACAAACTGTATGGCCATGGCCTATGGCTCAAGCTTCTTCTTCACTAGCTCTTATAATTTAAATGACCCCATTTCTATTAATCTATGTTTTTGCCACGTTTTCTGTGGCGTTACCTGTGTGCCATTACATGCTGCTCCCTGGACAGTAGGATGGCATCTTCTCTGCCTCTCCTTATTCCTTTCACTATCTCCCTTGGATTTTCCCACCTGGCTCCATCCTGCCCTTCCATAGGCCAAATGGCTTTATTTATCAACCAATTAGAGCAACACATATTCATAGCATACAGAAAGATATCTCATAGCAAAAAGGAAAGATGTTTTTTTCAAGAGAAAATTTCTGGGGAAGTTGACACAGTGAGCTTATGCTACAGTGAATATTCTCTGCTCTGAACACATAACAAAGACAGATAAGATAGATGCTGCAGTGAATATTCTCTGCTCTGAACACATAACAAAGGTAGGTAAGATAGATGCTGCAGTGAATATTCTCTGCTCTTAACATATAACAAAGACAGATAAGATAGATATATGCCTGCAGTGATTTGAAAAAAAAAAAGGAAAATAAAAAGAAATTTTTTAAAAAATTAGAAAACATCTAACTCCACTCAAGTAAATTAGACTAAAGCAGGGCATAAAGTCTGGTGGGTCAAAAGCAGAACAGAAGCACAGGGCTGGAGAGGAGTGAGCTGGAGACCTGCTGATCCCAGTCCAAGGCAGACAGTGACTGACAGCTGTTGGGGAAAAGCTAGGCTCTTGTAACATTTTCTGCTGTGGACATATTTTATATCTATGATTGTTGCCATCAGATTGGTTTCTTAAAGTCTGTGGAAATTTTATGTTACTGGTATGGATTTGGTGAATTCCTATTTTTACTTTTTTTATTATTATAAGACTGTCTTTCACTCCTTTTTCTCTAGTTTTTTTTTTGGGGGGGGGTTAGGTGACAATTTCATTTATCTTTAACCTTTCTTGTTTAAAAACCACATCGAAGTCTAGGTATTATTTAAACTGTAATTTTTAGTGATGTATTTCTAGTGTGCTTTCAGCTTTAATTCATGAGTTCTTTTGATGTTTTGGTTTCTTTACTTTCTTGGTACAGGGACTAAAACCATGACCTTAAGCTAAATGGGCATACTTCCTACCACCTACCACTGAGTTGTAGGCCCAGGTCGAGGAACATAATTTTAAATTTGAGAGTGTATCTTTTCTAAACATCACTCCTTTCCAGTTAATTGCATTGTGAGCAGAAAATGTGTTTTCTTTGAAGGGTGCTGACGCTTCCCTCGGGACATAACTTGATGTCGGTATGAATTTTCTGTGTGTTTGAAAAGGTGTATATCACTTCTTTGCTCAGTTCAGGGTTCTATGTGTTGTTATCTTCCTGTTACTGCATCAAATGCCTGAGCTGATTAATTATAGCGAGAAAGTGGTTATTTTCACACGTGGTTTCGGAGATCCTAGTCTATGATTTGTTAGTTCCTTTGAGTTTTAGGTCTATAGTGAGTGAGCATATCACAACAGGAACATGTGTGGAGAATACTCGCCTCATGATTGGAAAGTGAGAGAGAGAGGTAATGGTCAGGGTTCCACTGTCTCCTTCAAGGATGTGCCTCTAATGACCTAAGGGCTCTCTTTAGGCCTCCAACCTAAAGGGTAGGAGATCTCAATAGTGACACCGTGGAGGGCAAGCCTCTACCATATGGACTTTGAGGAGGTATATATTATTCAAATTATAGCATATGTATACTAGTTTAATTGTATTAATGAACTTAACATTCATGTAAAAAAAAGGACAGTAAGAACAAGAGAAGAAATTCAAAGAGAGTTGAAGAAAGGAATTATAAGATCAAATTATGACTAATAAGATCAATTATTATCTAGTTAATACTTAGTGATTGGTCCTGCTTAGACAAAAAGAGGGAAGTCATACTATAACTCAACCAAGAACAGGACAGCTTAATGCTGCCACTTTGGGCACAAAAATAATATTTTCATATTTACTGGAAAGTTTTCTATAAAAAAAACTTATGAGGTTACAATCTTTAGGGATAAATTTCTGATTATTTAGAAGTCTTTTAACCTATCAGTATGTCTAGATTTATTTCTTATGAGGCCAGGTGTCTAACCTCACTATTGTCTTGGACCCTTAAATAAAAATGAACATTTTATACCTGTGTAAATATGCACTAATTGGAAATGACGGTTTAGCTACAGTATGCCTCATCCTGTAGTGGGTAGCCATTCCAGCTTTGACCTGGAAGTTCCAACCCCCATTGAGGCTTCGGTAATGGTCACACCTACAAGGCGGAACCAAGAGAGCCCGCGCATCCTGATCTCAGGTCTTCAGCGTCCTCTGCTAGCTCAGTCAATAGAGCATGAGACTCTTAATCTTAGGGTCGTGGGTTCGTGCCCTATGTTGGGCGCCAGATATTGGTGAAATTATTATGGCCACTCCACGTAGTTAAAAGGGAGGTTTATTTTGTGGGGTAACTTACAAGTGAAGGGATAGTTTACAGGATCTGGAAAAGGTGTAGTGCAGTCCAGCGGTGTTCTCTGGAGAACTCTGCTTGGTCTACCTCCAGTGTCCAGGGTGCAAGAACCAAGAGAGCCTGCACATCCAGATCTTGAGTCTTCAGGGTCCTCTCTTGGCCCTGCTTTGTAGGAGTGACAGTTGCCGAAGCCTCAATGGGGGTTGGAACTTCCAGGTCAAAGCTGGAATGGCTACCCACTACATCATTCTTTGACTCCTCTGAAATAAAAATGTCTAGCAATGTAGGGGAATGTCTTACACTTCCATGTTTTATTGTATGTGCAGTGTGTGCACATTATGTTCAAATATCTTTCCTAAGCTAATGACACTGTATTGTGGTTTGCTTTTTACCACTTTTATCTCTTGCTATGTCTTCACAAATAGCCAACAGTAGCGATTTAGTTATATACAGACAGATTTTGAGTAAATGCCCCTTGGACTCTTGGAACCATCTGCATGGAAATTTGAACTGAATGAGGCAAATGTGTATAACTTACATTGAAATGATTGTGTAATCTGCAGAAAGAAGAGAAATCCCCTCCTAACCTATAAAACGTTCTTTCCTGAAGCACATGACATTTAAAACACGTTTATTCAATGACTAAGCCATTTTGTATAATTAAAAAAAAGAAAAGAAACTCCCTGCGCCCTTCACTCCGTGACAGTCTCTTCGGGGTCTCCCTGTGGGGGAGCAACTCAGAGGCTCACTTTGTGTTTTGTTTTTCCTTTGCTTCTCCTCATCCTCCTCAGAGTACAGGACAGGCAGGCAGTGGGGAAGTGGCTCCTGTTGCCTTTGCTTCTTGTCACTTGGGACAGTTGTTTCCTGGGTATAGTCTATCTCCATTTGTCCT